GGGAGTTGTCAGAACAGAGCCCAACATGGGGCTTGAACACACGAATCGAACTGCAAGATCATGACCTGAGCCAAAGTTGGATGCTTAACCAACTGAGCCACCCAGGTGCCCCAGGGATCGTTATTCTTTTTAAAAAAATTTTTTTAACTTTTTTTAAATTTATTTTTGAGACAGAGAGAGACAGAGCATGAAGGGGGGAGGGGCAGAGAGAGAAGGAGACACAGAATCGGAAGCAGGCTCCAGGCCCTGAGCCATCAGCCCAGAGCCCGACGCGGGGCTCGAACTCACGGACCGTGAGATCGTGACCTGAGCCGAAGTCGGACACTTAACCGACTGCACCACCCAGGCGCCCCTCAGGGATCGTTACTCTTAATGCCTCTTTTTGACCAGTGATCCCAGTTTTTTGGCCACAAATCAGTCTGGGTGACACTAAGGAGCTTCTCAGAGGACTTCACCCTACCCTACCCTACCCTACCCTACAGGGAGAATAAAGGACAGTTCCCATGTACCCCAAATCCGTCTGTGACTCATCGCCCATTTCTCACCAGCAAGGTGAGGGCTGACTGTGGCATATCTGAGCCCTGAGGCCTCATATCCATCTTTTTCCTCCTCCGTTTTCTTCTGTGGAAACAGGAATGTTCTGGAATATATCAACTTTGGAGTCAGATGGACCTAATTTTGGATCCTGACTCAGCTGTTTACCTTCATATCCTTGGGAAGTCGATAAAAACTTGGCCTCTGTCTTTCAGCTTTCTCAGGGTAAAAGGGAGATGATCCTGAAGTCTTCCAGAATCGTCATGAGGGCTCAATGGGGGTAATGCTTGCAAAATGCTTGGCACAGTGCCTGGAATAAGGTAACCCTCGGCTTCATGTCACAGCTGCCATCTGGTATGCTATACATACAGATACATGTGTGTATTCATAATCAGGCTGCCGCAATTATTAACTTATATAACCCTCACACAACGTGATTGTCCCCATTTTATAGATAGGGAAGTAGAGTTAAGCAATTTACTCACCCAGTTGTAAGTGGTAACGTCAGGACTCAAATCCAGGCAGTCTACCTCCAGAACCTACACCCTTGAATGCCAAAAGGTACTTGACAAATAGTTAGCCTTGAACTGTGCTTCTCAGCTGGGACTGATTTTCCTCCCTGCTGCCCCAGAGGTCATTTGACAGTGTCTGGAAATATTCTGGATGTTACAGGAAGAGATGCCACTGGCATTTAGTGGTAGAAGCCAGGGATGCTGTTAATCATCCTACAGTGACAGCTCCTCCCCTGCAACAAAGAACTATCAGGCCCAGGATGTCCACAGTGTTGAGGCTGAGAAACCCTGCTCCTGAGTGGGACAGTACCATACAACCCTAGGGCACTTCACTGTTAAAGGTATTCAAAGGAGCTTGGAAGGAGGCAGGTTGAAGGCTTGGTGCCTGCAGAATTCTTGTGCCAGTGGGGATATATCCAAGGTCTAGCAAAGGGGCCGAGCCCGGACAGCTGGATCCCAGCTTGGCTATGAGCTGACCTGGCTATTACCGAGCCTCTCAGAGCCCCAGTTTCCTCATATGTACAAAGCAGGCAAGAATTGCTGTCTTCCGGGACTGTGAGGCTCAACAAGGCAACACATGTGTCTGGCACACGGCAAGTGCTTAGTGAACTGGCAGAAGTGTGATTACACCAGGGGCTTCTCAGAGGCTGGAGCCAGAGCAAGAAATGGATTGCTGGGTCAGCACTGATACACGTGAGCTGGCAGCTGCTGGCTCCCTGGAGAGCCTGGGAATGAGCAAAATCAGAGGCATGGTGACAATACCTTCAGTCAGTTTCCCTCCCTGTAAAGCAGACTTGTCTGCAGGGGAGGGTGGAGGGCATTCTCCCTCCACATCAAGCTTTTTTCCTTTTTTTAAATTTTTTTTAACGTTTATTTATTATTGAGAGACAGAGAGACACAGAGCATGAGCAGGGGAGGGGCCGAGAGATGGAGAGATACAGAATCTGAAGCAGGCTCCAGGCTCTGAGCTGTCAGCACAGAGCCCAACGCGGGGCTCGGACTCACAAACCGTGAGATTATGACCTGAGCCGAAGTTAGATATTTAACCGACTGAGCCACCCAGGCTCCCCTCAAGCTGTTTTTATAGTTGTGTAGTATGAACGGGTTTTTTTTTTTTTTTTGGCTTTATTTACCCCCCAAGGTTTCATCTGCCTTGTGGCAGCCAAAAACATTCAAAAGTAGGGAAACAGATGCTATATCTACAGATTTGTAACATCCTTGATTCCTGTCATGTCAACAGGAAAATTAGGTAGGCAGATAACACTGGAGGAGTTATTTCTGTGAGTTAATGTTAGTATTTTTCCTCCTTTAGGCCAAAATGTAAAACTGGTCTCTCTCTGTCTCTCTCTCTCTCTCTCTCTCTCTCTCTCATACACACAACTTTCCTCCTCATATTTGCTCTATCTGGAAACCCACACAAATTTGATCCTTTCTCTTATTATTTGAGATGTGAACATTACCCACCAGCCTCTAGGACTTTCCATAAGGCAAAGCCAAATTATCTGAGTCGTGATCTCTATTTCTTCCCTCAGCAGGAAATCCAAATGTGATTGGTAGATTTTTAAGAGTACAGTTCTAAAGACACAGGCACCGAAGTCTTTTTAGAGAGATGTTATATTTTTAATCAAGTAAACGTTTTAATTACTAACATGCCTCCCACCACCTACCCTCCCACAAAACCTGCCCATGAATTTCTCGTGGGTCCCGTGTGACATGGAACAGCAGCTTGCTCCTTCAGAGCCCTTGATTATAAGGGCTGAAAAACTCTTGGTAGAAGTTCCCAAGTGTGACTATGTTGTCTTTTTTTTTTCCTGAGCCACAACAGTTTCCTCATTATTTCTGTTACAGATATATCTTTTCTGAGCCACAATAGTTTTCTGCATTGTTTCTTGCACTGTTTCTGGGTTTAACAAAACCAGATTTCAGAGTAGGTCTGCTTTGCTTTATAATTGGAAGTCTGCAGGAAGAAGGACCCAGCAAGGAATGAAGCAAATTATCCCTTCCCTCCATCCTCTTCCTACTCCTCTACCTAGCTGAGACTTCTGGTGGCCACTGGGGCCCCTCATGGGTTTTAGTGGCAAATGCAATTAATCCCCTGAAATCACCCATGCCCTCATAAGGGGAAGAATATGGGACTGGGAAAAACACCAGACGTGGATTTTGTCCTTGTTTTGCAACCAACTAATTATGAAACCTTAAGTATGCCACATGACACTCTGGACCTCAGTTTTTCCTCCTGTGAAATGGGTGGGCAGGCACTGTTGGGGGTTATATTAAATCCCAAATGCCTCTAGGATTAGGTTAATGAGAAAAATGAATGAAGTGGACTGAGAAGGGCCTCTCTTCTCTAATGGGTCAGCCTTTGCTTCCAGCCGGTTCCATTTCCAATGCTATGTGAAAATTGTGCCCAGGCATGTCAGATATTCCCATTTTTTTTTTAAAGAGAAGGCTGAAACCCAGAAGTTGAAGATACTAAGTGAAATATCTTGATTTTTCAGAAGCTGGAGATGACTATTTTGTGGACCCAACAGGTCAATGAGCCAAATATGGCCCCAGGGCTGAATGGTTATTGTCTCTGGACAAAGCTTTTTCTATGACCTTGACACAAACAGCTTCCTACCATAAGTGTGCAACTACAGCACACATGCACAAATCACATTTGACCCTAAACAGCCAAAGCGGTCCTGAGAAAGGAGAACAAAGCTGGATATTTCAAACTATATTACAAAGTTATAGACATCAAAATGTATGGTATTGGCATAAAAGCAGACTCATAGCTCAAAGGAACAGACCAGAGACCAGAAATAAACCCACAAATATACAGTCCATCAAATTTCAGCAGAGGAGCCAAGAATATACAAATGCAGAAAGGATAGTGTTTTCAATAAATGGTGCTGGGAAAATTGGACAGCCACATGTAAAAGAATGAAACTGGGTCCCTATCTTACTCTATACATAACAACTCAAAATGCATTAAAGACTTGAATGTAAGACCTGAAACCATAAAACTCCTAGAAGAAAAAGAGGGGGTAATTTCTTGGCATTGGTTTTGGCATGATTTTTTATATTTGACACCAAAAGGCAACAAAAGCAAAAATAAACAAGTGGGACTACATCAAAATAAAAAGATTCTGCACAGCAAAGGGAAACATCAACAAAATGAAAATGCACCTATGGAATGGGAGAAAATATTTGCAAACCACATATCTGATAAGAGGTTAAAAAATATAGAAGGAAGTCATTCAACTCAATAGCAAAAAAAAAAAAAAAAAAAATCCCAAATAACCCAATCAAAAAATGGACAAAGGACCTGAATACACTTTTTTCTAAAGAAGATACACAAATGGTCAACAGGTACATGGAAAGAAAGGTTCTAAACATCACTCATCATAAGAGAAAATCTAAACCACAATGAGATATCACCTCACACCTGTGAGAATGGTTATTAAATTAAAATTTAACTCTAAAATAAACTTTATTAAAAACTTACCATGTAATCCTGATTATTTTCTTCCTTTTCTATAGATCCATGTAAAATTTGTTAGAATATAGGAACCACTGTAATTACTCTATCTAATGGTTTATGATCATATGCTCCTTAATAGAGGAGTATATGAGCACAATATGAGTGCTCCTTAATAGAGGAGTATATGAGTACAATATGAGCAGACTATTTATTAGTAGTATATCAGGACATCTTTCAAATAATTTTTTGTCTTTTAATCAGAAACCCTGTAGGGGATCTCCAAAGACTTGGATTTTAATGAATAAATGTGCCTTGCCCTACATCCTCTGCCCTTGGGGCTCGTGGATAGAAATCAGGTAGGGTTTTGATATGGACTCTCACTTAAAAGGTGAAGCATCACATTAGATCTCTGTGAGAAGGTCATGTTAGCACCACCTTTGTGAGGTGCCTGCACATAAGGAGGAAGGAGGCAGTGAACATAACATTACCTTTGGAATGCACATTGTGGGCTCGGACAGGCGAGGGTAGGTGTAGGAGTTGTACGAGTGTCCTTGGGGGTGGGTTTTAAATGCACTTGCTCCAAAGGGCATCATTGGTTCCTGGAGCCCCGAACCTGACCTGGACCTTTGCCGCATGGTGGGCTGAGGGCTGGTCTGATTCAAGTATGATGACTTTGGCCTCCTATCATAGTCATCTAGGCTGGGTCCCCACTCGCTTTCGCTGAACACCAGACTCTCCTTGGAACACCCGCTGGTCCCCGCAGTTCTAGAAGGCATGAATTGGAATGGATAATCTAGAGGGGAACTGCTTGAGGCTCTCTGGTACTCCCACTTGAGCTCATTGTATTCACTTGGTTTGCTCAGTGAGTCCAAGTGTGTGTGATAATCAACAGGAAATCTGGCAATATCGGATTTCAAAGGCTTCATCTCAGAATAGTAGGCTTCCCCGTGTTTGGTCTTTGTGACATGCCCATTTTGCTTGGCGGCATGGCTGCCTTTATAAAACGGATCCAGGTCATCACCATAGAGACTCTTTTCTCGATACTTCTCAGTGCTGTAGTCAGCAGTGGTATCGGACTCGCTGGAATACTGCGAGAAGGTGATGAAGCCATTTTCTTCCCGATGGCCTTGACCGTAGCTGGAGGCTCCCTGGTCTGGGGTGGGTGGGCTTTCTTTCCTTAGGGAGTTGGAGCGAGTCACAGAGATGTTGTCGAAGTCCTCCAGCAGGCCGTTGATGGAGGTTTCTTTGCACGGTTTATTTCCTCTAACGATTGTCTGGGAACAGTAAAGGGAATGCCATTTAAAGAAATCATTTCATGCTTTCAAACTGATACTGCAATCCCACCCCTACTCCACTGAGGAAAAAAGACCCCAGGAATATCCCCTAAAAAGTGATAAAAATTGATCGTTTCAGTGGTGAAATAAGTCAAATATTATATAACCTTAATTGCAAATTTGCGTTTACCTATCTCAATAGAGATATCAATTAAACATCAAAAAGCCATTTAGAAGACTAAGCAACACTGTCTTATTTACTAGTTAGGGGAAACCTCCTCCCTGGTTCCTGTCCTTAAATAATAAGCCCTAACCATCTAATGATAAGCTGATTATAATTTTAAGTCTATAACTGGTTTTAAAAATCATATTTCTTACATTCATTATTCATATTATTTGCAAAACGAGTAAGTATTGTCACTTGAGTATTAACATACCCAGGAATGGGCGCACATTTTTTTTACCCTTTTACAGAATTCATAAAAATTGGAGTTACTAGATTTTATAGAAAAGGAAGGCATTTTCTGAACTACACTGAACAGCTTGAAGATCACTTATGAGATTTTATATGTGATCACCTGTGATATTTTCATTAAGCATCTAACTGTAATGCTTGCTAGAGCCACACTTCTGTATCATCACGGCTGAGGTCTGGATGACTTAGTAGTTGATGTGGTTGTTGTACTTGAACCTTAGTGACAAACTGCCGAGCCCAAATGTTCCCCTTAACGAACCTAAATAACACCAGAATACCAGGAACAGAAAGAAATCACAAACCACTTACAAAGCCAGTCAGCTGTGCCTTGACAATGACAAGGTTTGCAGCAAAATACGATGGGGGTGGATAAAAGAACAAAGAACAAAGTGTTGTGACTTCAGACTTCCAGAATTTTAGGAGAAAAATACCTGTGAGCAAGTAGCAAAGGAGTTCAAAATCATCTCAGTATAATAGAGGATTTCAAACTAGAGGCAAAAGTCAAATTTGTCCTAGAACATATGATTTATAGATCAGTGAAAGACAAGGTTTTCTTTTTTTCCTATCCAATCAGTCCAAGGCAAGTTAAAATGTGCAGATTATATAGTAAAGAAAAGATCAGAGAAGAACAGACTAAAACTCTTGGAAAGTTTCCAGGGAGGGGAGAATTGTGAGCTAGGTCCAGGAGGAAATAATAGATATACTTGGATGGTGACCAAAAAAAAAAAAAAAAAAAAAAAAAAAAAAAAAAAAAAAAAAAAAAAAGAGGTAATTACCAGCTCATCACTTACTAAATGATTGAGACACAGAGATGATCAGAATATGTTAACATGCCACCATCTTTGGGGCTATGTGGATAATTATGATAACAGAAGAAAGCATTCCCCACTCATATCAAATCAGCATTTCAATCACTTGTCCTTTGGAATTTATATCCAGAGAACTTGTTAGTTTATCTTCAGCAAATTAATAAATGGCTATGATGGGGCTGAACTATCAGTTTTAGATATGTGTCTATCTATGTGTCTATCATCTATCAACGTATCCATCCAACTGGCTATCTATCCACCCACCCATCCATACAATAACATCAAAAGCTATAATGGAGATCTGTAATATGTCTATATCCATACTATCTGCAAATATTTTTTTAAATGACTAAGTGATAACATAATGAAGGCCTGTTTGGGAGAGAGCCCTTTCTTTCCTTCATTAGTTGTGCTATAAATATACTACATTTGGAAAATGAAAAACCAAACAATCATAAACACCTATTTCACAATTTTGTCCCCGAAGTAAGTTAATTTAGATTTTTTATGGGAGATTAGAGGGTCACTGTTTTAAGACATGAATTAATCTGTGACCTCAGAATTGGGAAGTCTGCTGTTTCTGTGCACTTATCACTGCATACCCAAAGACATGTTCAGTTTACATGCAGAAATTATAGCAGTAAACTCAATAAACATAATTCTACATACTTGTTGATGTGGAAGGAGAAATATATGGTTATGAGATAACTACTATTTAGAAGAAAAAATAAAGACTATCATTGAATAAGAAACACTTTTAAAAAACAATGTAGTTTTTTATCCTAGTTTTGAATCAGGCTTACAGCATTTATCAACTGTGTGATAGTGGGCAAGTCACCTAACCTTTAAAAGCCATGGTTTCTTAATCCATAAAACGGCAAGAATAAATCTTTGTCTCATTGGGTTAATGTGATTTAATACAATAATGTGTAAAACAGCTGGCATGATTCCTGGCATACAGGAAGCACTAATAAATGGTAGTTATTTAACTATTTTATAAGTTAAAATTTACTCTAAAATTAGGTTTATAATAATTAAAGAAAAGAAGAAAGATGTAAACAATGGAATAAATCAATCTCAGCTTTATGCAATGGAAGGAAAAGAATTGATGTTTTAGACTTTTAAAAACAATTATTAGGGGGCGCCTGGGTGGCTCAGTCGGTTAAGTGTCTGACTTCAGCTTGGGTCATGATCTTGTGGTCCATGGGTTTGAGCCCCGTGTCGGGCTATGTGCTGACAGCTCAGAACCTGGAGCCTGCTTCAGCTTCTGTCTCCCTCCCTCTCTCTCTATCCTTCCCCTGCTCTCACTCAAAAATAAATAAACATTAATAAAATTTTTAAAAATGATTATTAGTAACTTTAGATGCAAAATACAAATTTCCTGAGTTTAAAGATATATCTTCAGCTAATTACAATTGTTATATATTTCAAAGAAATATTCCTTAGTAGATATAAAAAATGGAATACTTTCAAAACATGATCAGCACCCTACTGTAATCCTTCTTAAAGATGTAATATCTGAGTCCTAAAAATTAACAAAATTAGACTTCCTATTATTTACACTGAAAGATACATATGGAAAAGGAAGATTAATAGAAATACAGTAAAATATTGACAGTGGTCATCTCTAGGTGGGGAGATTAAGTGTGACATAGATTTTAAACCTGCACTTGTCAAATCTTAATGTGCACACAAATCACCTGAGGATCCTGTTAGAGGGAGAGTCTGATTCAATAGGTCTGAAGTGGGGTCTGGAATTCCACATCTTGAATGGGCTCCCAGGCAGTGATAATCCTGCTGGTCTGCTGTTCACACTGTGTACTCAATGGGGTTAGTGCATTTTCCATATTTTCTACAACTAGGGTACTTTTATAATAAAACATATTAGACTGACATATACTTTTCAGTATAATACGATCCAGGACTTCATATATATATATATATATATATATATATATATATATATATATATATGTGTATGTATATATGGCACTAAATATATATTTTATTAAATATATAGTATAATGTTAAATTTTTATTTTATATCTATATAACATATATCTGTATACATATATATCGTATTACATATATATGTATTGTTGTATTGTGTTAAAATTATTTGATGTTACAGTTGTAGCTGCTGGGAGCTACACTGTTCAATGTTTTCCCATTCTCTACAAAGGTGAAATATTTCCTATGTTTAACCAAAATGAATACTTTGAAAGATTTCACTATTTTGGCACACCTGCTTCTATAGCATCATGATCTTATTATGAGGCTATAAATCTCAGAGTCATTGATGAATAAAACTCGAGTACTATGGAAGTGAAGGTGTGGTTGCAGACATTTGCAAAGAAGAAAATTTCATCTATAGCAAAAACAAAACAAACAAAAACCCAAAGACACTATAATAACAGGCTATAGAAGACACAGTCTTTTCTTGGATCTCCTTTTTAACATTTGGAGATGTTTACAGATGGTGTAACTCTATTACTCTTAAAGGAGCACATGCTTTTCTCTCTTTCAGTGAAAACTATTTAGTCGGTGTTAAAAAGCAAGGGCTTGCAAAAATGTAAATATCTGTTAGAAATAAACTGTTGACCTGTCTAAAAAGAATAGAAAAAAAGAAGGGTTTGGTAACCTTATTTAATCAGGAAGACCTGTGAAACTAGAACCGAGGTAATATTTGTTTCCCTAACACAGGTTTCACTTTAAGGAATCATAACACCAAAGCAACAATAGTGAAATCCAAACATGCAAAATTTTACAACATGGTTTAACCAGGCTTCAAAATGCAAGAACTACTATTTATGGCTGTCAGTATCTGATGTTTATTAAAGCAAGATTGTGCAGTTTTAGAGATCAATAATATAACGGCAAGAGTATCGCTGAACTTCATGCTGCAGAACAGCCAGGCATTAAAAATCAATGCAACCCAACCTATTTGAGTTTGACACCCTGGTTCTCATTGCCTTTCCATTGTGCCTGGACCAGCTCAGCGTCTGCTCTCTTGTTGACAGCGGCCATATTTCATGGTGCTCCTTCCCCAGGCTGCCGGCCAGTGATAAGCTATAATGGATCTGTCCGTAAGAACAGCTGTCTCCCCTTGTTCTGAGGAAGAGATGAAAAAGTGCCTCTGCTCTCACAGACTGTATTAACCTTGACAATAATGAAGTGTGTAATTAACAGCTTTGCCCTAATAAGACCTTGCCTTTCTTTTTAAAAAACAATGTCTTCTATCCTCTTCAAGAATGCATTTCATTTTGTCTTTCTGGGTAAACACTTCTCAGGAGGTCAATAAGCTAAACATTCCCATGACTCAAGAACAAACCAAGACTCTCTCAGAAAGTATCTACTTTTAACAATTTATCTGAATTCTCATGCTGTTTGCAGAGAATCAGTTGCCTTGTTTTTATTAAGGAATGTGGTTGCAAACAGCTGTGTATGTAACAACAACAAATGGATCTGACATACTTGAATACTTATGGCAAGAAATGCTAATTCTCAGCTGGATTTTTATACACCAGAAGACTCAGATCTTCTATTTTCTTTCAATGTAGAAAACACTTTTTTTTTTTTTTTTTTTTTTTTTTGGTAACCACAGGGGGTAGGGCTAATTGAGTAAGTAGGTGGAATTCCATATTCCTGGAAATGTGAGAATAAGGGCAGAACGTCTCCAAGGGGCAGCAGGGGTGCAGATTCCTTTAAAAAATTTT